GTACAGGGACCTTCCGGTTTACAGATCCACATGGGAACCGACTAATCCGGAATCGAGCCGGGTAGGACCACAAGGGCGGCAAAGCTCTCCCTCAAGAGTTTTAACACTGCTGCATTCCCAGGGCTCGAACACGAGACCACTGGTTAAGCTGGAAGAGACCCAAGTCATCTCATCCAAGCGCTCTTGGGTTTATATGTGACTTTAGTTTGTCTCCTTTTTGTTCCTTCAAGTTTCAAGAGAATTGTACCTAAAGTCATTAATTAAACAATAATGTTTTTAAAAACACTAAAATTGGATAATTCTAACAAAATTTAGGGGAAAAACAAAGCTATAACAAAAATCCCCTAAATTAAATAAAAAAAAAAAAAAACTTTCTTTATTAGGGTAGCCATAATAAGAAGCTTCACATTATACAAAATACACATATATCCATGATGCGAAATGACATGCTTTTGATTATATTGCATTTAAAAGTATGACATTCGAGTATGAAAATGTTAATATTTTGATGGAAGAGTGCGACAGTCTAACCGGTTAGACAGACTAACAAAATAACCTACCTTCCGACAAAATTACAACAAATTGTTCAAAGCTGGTTTTGTGGTGGCCAAGTATTTTCAAGTGGCTTTTACAGAAAACCAACCAGAGGCAAATTGCAGTGAGAACACAGCATTTAGAAAAAGAGACTATATGCGCGAAGGGCGCTATATATCCCGTAGTCTTATTAAAGTCGAATAACAAGAACAAAATTGCTTCTTGTAATACAGAAATTCTCATGCGAAAAAAAATAAAAAATAAAAAATAAAAAAACAAAAAACAAAAACAAAAGCAGCCCAAGTCTCTAACAAAAGGAAAATGAACGAAATTCAGATGGCGCGAATTTATGACATCATAAAAGAATTAAAACAAACAAAAAGTTTTTTTGCACTATTGTAACAAAATCTTTTCTACTTACTAATAACGTATCCAACGAGTATGCCCAGAAGCAGACCGAATATCAGTACTACAAATGACAAGGCATTGCCTTGCCTTTTTCTCGTTTGATTTTTTATCAATTCCTGCATAGTCAGTGTCGTCAAGCAAAAACTACCCAAGAAAATGAAATTTTTATTTATCTTCTGTGAGGGGTGTGTGTGTGTGTATAATACGCATAAGCATGGACTATCGAATAAGTAAGAAAAAGATAGATGTGGTGGCCGAGTATTTTTCACCAACGAAAGCAATCGAACCAACAACAAAAGAAAAAATGAAGTTAAACACGTGGAAATGAAAATAAAATAAAATAAAAACATACCAATTCTCTGAGTAACTTTTTATTTTCCTTAGTAACAGAGGCTTTCTCCTCATTCAACTTTGAGACAACAGCTGTCCAAGACTGAACATAACATATTTCAATTTAGAATACAACTTCACATGAACAATTATGAAATACAACTACAACAACAACAACAAAGTTTTTAGTCCCAAACAAGTTGGGGTAGGCTAGAGATGAAACCCAAGAGAAACAGTGGTAAGAACACAAAAAAGGGCTCAAAACAAAAGGATGTAATGTAATGTAATTATTTTTATCCTTTAAGAAATGTGCACAGTTATTCATCGGCTGTTCATAACTCGGGAAGGTACAAATGAACCCTGCAAGTTAAAACTATATGATTTTATACCAGAGCCCATATTGCTCCTCGAATGCAAATGAGGCAACTTGAAAAGTGAAAAAATGATGCCTTTGATTAAAAAAAAAAAAAAAA